CCCTCTGCTCCAGGTGTGGGACCTGGAGTCCCCTCTGCTCCAGGTGTGGGACCTGGAGTCCCCTCTGCTCCAGGTGTGGGACCTGGAGTCCCCTCTGCTCCAGGTGTGGGACCTGGAGTCCCCTCTGTCCCAGGTGGAGTCCCCTCTGTCCCAGGTGTGGAACCTGGAGTCCCCTCTGTCCCAGGTGTGGGACCTGGCGGGTTTGGTGTGAGGTGTGTCTCCTGAGGACCGGCCCACATGATGTGGGGGAACAGGTGGACTGACCCACATTCTTCCTCCTGCTTGGATCTGATCCAACCCACCAACTGAAGGAGGTTTGAGGAACGTCCTCGGGGGTCTAAGCGTGCTGTTGGGGGTTTATGGGGGTTGTTTGAGTCCAGTTGTCTCTGTGGGGAGTTTCCCTGCTGCAGAAGCTCGATCCAAACATTCAGCTCCTCTTCGCAGRAGTTAAATCAGGAAGACCCCCTCTGCTCCGACACCCCCCTCAGCCACGCTGCCTCACAGCTGTTTGTGGCTTCAGGGTGGGTCCGGGGTCCGCCTGCTGCATTCAGATCAGCGTTTGCATGTTCTGCCTGACTGCTGACACATGTCAGGGTGTGGGTCTCCTCTGGTTCCCTCAGAACACAGGACTGACCCGATCCTTCAGTCCTGAAGTCCCAACATTTAGAGTCAGTAAAACCAAACGGATGTTAAAGTTAGTGGACCCAGCAGCTCGGGAGGGGCTTCCCAAGCAGCTGATGCTCAGTCACATTATCCTCCTGCAGGGTGGGACTGGGACCCCCGTCACATGTGAGTCTGGTATCTGCTCTGTCTTCAGGGGATCCTCTCGTAACAAAACATAAAACAGTTGAGCCGAAGCTGAAAACGGCTGAATGTTTGCCAGAAAAGACAAATGTCAGCTTCCTGTTCTGGGTGGGATGGCTCCAGTTTCCACAGCTGTCTAAGAGGCGGGGCTTAAACCACCTGACACATTTCTTCTTCTCTCTTCCTGCTCGTCTAGGCCCGTTAATGACGCACATTAATTATCCTCCAATAAAGCAGCTCTCAGGGGTCCATTAGCTGACAGTTCAGGGGGGCGTTACTAGCTGCGTTTCCACTGACCATGAAAATGTGCAAATTAGAATTTCGAAAATAAATTTGCTCAATGGAAACACGTCAATTTCGAAAAAAAAAATTACGTTTTTCGACAAAATGTTTTAGCGCTAGGATGAGGTGGTTTTTCGGCCGTATCAAAATTGTTTTTTTTTTCCGGCAAAACTGCAATGGAAACACTTTTTTTCACGTCACAGGAGTCACGTGATCAACAACCGTCTGTTTCTACTGGAGAAAAGACGGTGACGAAGAAGATAACAGGAAGTAGAAGTAGTAGTAATATCACAGAAGTAGTATAAAATAGTAAACTCACCGACTACAATTTCCCAAAAACACAGCATACGTAGCCGCTCCCAAGTAGGGACTTGTCTCTGGAAAGCCTCGATAAAAGACGCCGACATCTCCTCTGATGATGGTAAATGGTAAATGGTACTGAACTTATAGAGCGCTTTTCAAGTCCCTCCAGACCCCAAAGCGCTTTACAC